TTCATGGAGAGGTAGGCGATTGTTCAGTCATATCTGCTTTAGGTGAAGATCTAGAAATAAGTTTGATTGACGTTACCTACAAAAATCACATTGGGGAAAATCTTGAGGACATTTTGGAAGAAAATGATGAGTTGGAAGACTTGGAAGATTTGGAAGATTTAGCGGCATTTGAGCAACTTGACTTTAAGGATAAAATTGTCCAACCACCATCCATAGAGAAAGCCCCCGATTTGGAGTTAAAGCAATTACCTAGTCACCTTAAGTATGTTTATCTTACGGAGGAGGAAAAATTACCCGTAATTATTTCTTCGAAATTAAGTAATAAGCAATAATTAAGGTTGATAGAGGTATTAAAAGATCACAAAAGATCCATAGGTTGGACCATTGCAGATATTAGGGGAATTAGTCCTTCCCTTTGCCAACATAAGATTATCTTGGAAGAAAATAGAGTTGGCAAGGTGCAACCGCAAATGAGACTAAATCCCATTATGAAAGAAGTTATGAAGAAATAAATCTTGAAGTGGTTAGACGCAGATATTATATATCCCATTTCCAGTAGCGGATGGGTGAGTCCGGTGCAATGTGTACCGAAGAAAGGTGGAACTACGGTTATCACCAACAAAAAAAATGAGCTTATCCCTACTAGGACCGTCATCGGATGGCGAATTTGTATGGACTATAGGCAATTGAATCTAGCAACCAAATGCTAGATCGATTGGCCGGAAAAGAATATTATTGCTTTTTGGACGGTTACTCGGGTTACAACCAAATTCACATATCACCCGAGAACCAAGAGAAAACAACTTTCACTTGTCCTTTCGGAACGTTTGCTTTTAGGCGTATGCCATTTGGTCTTTGTAACACATCGACGACCTTTCAACGGTGCATGATGTCAATTTTTTCGGACATGATTAAGGATACGATGGAAGTGTTTATGGATGACTTTTCCGTCATTGGTACATCTTTTGAAAATTGTCTTGACAATTTAAAGAAAAGTTTGGAATAATGTGAAACTCATGATTTAATTTTAAATTGGAAAAAATGTCATTTTATGGTACAAGAAGGAATTGTTTTGGGTCACATGATTTCTAAGAATGGTTTGGAGGTTGATAAAGCAAAAATCGAGGTAATATTGCAATTGCCTGAACCATCTTCGGTCAAAGGCATTCGAAGTTTTTTGGGACATGCGGGTTTTTACCGTAGATTTATTAAGGATTTTTCAAAAATTGCAAAACCCTTCTGTAATTTGTTGAATGTCGATCAAACTTTTGAATTTACCTGCGATTGTAAGAAAGCTTTTGAAACCATTAAAAATGCTCTTGTCTCGGCACCTATTGTCATTGCCCCAGATTGGACCATGCCTTTTGAGGTTATGTGTGATGCAAGTGACTGGGCCGTATGTGATGTTTTGGGACAAAAGCGAAACAAGATTTTTCACCCCATCTACTACGCAAGTAAAACCTTGGTGGAGGCTTAGTTAAATTATACCACCACCGAAAAAGAATTACTTGCGGTAGTATTTGCATTCGATCGTTTCCGATCCTACTTGATTGGCACCAAAGTTACCGTTCATATGGACCACTCTGCCATCAAATATCTCTTTAATAAGATCGACGCTAAGCCGAGACTTATTAGATGGGTTTTCTTTTGCAAGAATTCAATCTAGAGATAGTTGACCGCAAGGGATGTGACAATCAAGTAGCCGATCATTTATCAAGGATCGAAGGCAAAGTGTCAAGCGGGGGAACCATGTGATAAAAGAAACTTTTCCCGATGAGTACATTTTGGCAATACAAGAAAATCATCCAAATGAACTTCCATGGTATGCCGACATTGCCAACTACCTTGCTTGTGGACTTAAGCCACATCATCTTCACGGTCAATGTTTTAAGAAATTTCTTCATGACTATAAGCACTACTTATGGGACGATCCATCTCTTTACAAAATAGGAGCTGATCAGGTCTTGCGAAAATATGTCCCGAATTTTGAAATCCCATCTTTGTTGAAGGATTGTCACGCTTCACCGTATGGTGGCCATTTTAGTGGACAACGTATGGCGGAAATTTTTTTACAAAGTGGATTTTTTTGGCCTACATTGTTTAAAAACGCATTTAATTTTGTGAAGAGATGTGAACAGTGTCAAAGAATAGGAACTTGTCCCAACGAAACGAGATGCCTTTAAATAACATTCTTGAAGTAGAACTTTTCGATGTTTGGGGCATTGATTTCATGGGACCGTTTCCTATGTCTTTCAATAATCAGTATATTTTGATAGCGGTTGATTATGTTTCAAAGTGGGTGGAAGCTAAGGCATGCCCCAAGAACGATGCGAAGACGGTAATCGATTTTTTACATAAAAATATTTTTGTCCGTTTTGGAACACCCCGAGCTTTGATAAGCGATGAAGGAACACATTTTATGAATCGAATGCTATCTACCGTTCTTACAAGATACAACATCCAACACCGAGTAGCTACGGCATACCATCCCCAAACGAATGGTCTTGCCGAACTTTCGAACCGAGAAATTAAAAATATTTTAGAAAAGGTTGTAAGACCGGATCGTAAGGATTGGTCGCTCAAGTTGGATGATGCATTATGGGCATATCGAACCGCATTCAAAACCCCTTTGGGGATGTCGCCGTACCAGTTAGTTTTTGGAAAAGCATGTCACCTCCCGCTCGAATTGGAATATAAGGCTTTTTAGGCGATAAAAGAATTTAACTTGGACGTAAATTCGGCGGGAGCGAAAAGAAAGCTCCAACTTAATCAGTTGAAGGAATGGAGATTTCATGCCTACGAGAATGCCAAACTCTACAAGGAAAAAACAAAATTTTGGCATGATCGTAGGATAAATCGCCGAACGAATTTTCGAGAATAGTCAAAAAGTTCTTCTTTTTAATTCTCGACTAAAGCTTTTTCCCGGAAAACTTAAGTTGAGATGGTCTGGACCATTCACCATAGTAAATGTGGGAAAATTCGGAACGGTGGATCTTTTGAATCCCCAAGATAACACCACTTTCAAAGTTAACGGACATCAGATAAAACATTTCCTCCCGGAGGGAATAATCGGTCCAACCCAGTGATTTTTGAAAAGGATTTTCAAAGCTTTGTAAATATTTTATTTTGAAAGCAAGAATGGAGAAAAAGAAAAAAAATAATAAAAGAAATATCTGGTGTTTTTGAGTAGACAGTGGAAAGTTTGTGCCCACTGTCTGAGTCATCCGAATTTTAAAAGAAGAGGAGCCAGCAACATTTTATTTTTCTTGTGTGAACATATGCATTCTTTTCATGATAATGGAAAATTGGCTGGAAATGAAGTGTTTAAGGAAAGGACATGATGTCACCTTGAGGTAAACATGAGAGATTGTGAAATGAGGGTTTTTGAGTCATATCATTGGCTTAGTACATCTTAGATGATTAACCTTTGATATGTGGGTTTTTTTTTTTTTTGAGAAATGTTTAAAAAAAGGAAAATAAATGGGAAAGGGTAAAAAGAAAATTTTATATTTTTTTCAAGGGTGATGATGAAGAGCAAGATTTTATTTTAAAAATGACCAATTTTTGAAGAATTTTTGAAAATAAAATTTACAAGTGTGCATTTTTCAACATTTGTCTTTTTGAAAATTTTGGGTAGAATATTTGTATTTTATACAAAGTACTTGTACCCTTAGAGGAGACATCATGACATGAGGTCATTCTTTTTTTAAATAAAATCAAAAATAAGCTTGTCATCATTGTCTTTCAAATCACTTTTTCACTCTTCCCTTCCCAAGATTTAAATTTTTAAAAAGAAACAAACCAAAAACCCACTTTTTACTTTTCCCTCATTTCTCATTTCTCCCTTCGTCTCCCATTTCTTCCTCAAAGAAACCGCCGGCCAAACTCCCTCCTCTATGGCGCGACAAAAACAACCGGTGAGAAACCACCCATCCTGGCGTTCGCTTCACCGGCGAAAGACCGCCGCTGCTTCCACCACTAGTACGCCGCCGACGACCGCACCTGTTGCATCCTCGTCGGCCGAACCATCTTCATCGACGACGGGAGGATCTTCTACCGCAAGAGCCATCGCCGCGAGCACCATTGCCGCCTTTCGCGACCTTCCTCCGGCGACTGTAAGTTCATATCCTCTACCCTCTTCATCCACACAACACTCACCCCCAACCCCCACCGTACTCTCTTATGATGATGATGGTATGGCTGTCCTTACAAGGGTGGCTCTATCATCTCATTTGGCCGAATCATCCTCAACCCCAAAACCATTTTCCATTTCATTGAGTACTTCATATGCCCCTCCCACGATTGCACCATCAAGACCCATTTCTACTCCCATCCCAAGTGATGAGGAACCAACCCTAGCCCCTTCACCCATGGCTTCCCCAAATCACTCACGGTTCAATTTGAACCAAATGGATGAGGGTGAGGATGAAGGCTTGGATGATATCACATTTGATTTTGAAGGTATACTGAAGGGAGGACGAAACGAAACTTACCCATTCGAGACACCGTCAACTTTTGGTGCCGGTAAAAAGCCCGATAAAACCCCCGAAACAGCCCCTACCGTTGAAAGGAGGCAAACTTGTTCATCAAGTCAAACTTCGGGTGGGCGCCAAAAACTTGACAGGGCTAGGATCGTTCGTGTTCTCCTAGTGGGCAGAATGTCCCCACAGTGGCGATGCAAGAGCACGCCGACACTATGATCGCTTGAAAGTAATAAAGTGGTACAAAGTACCGAGATCGTTCCCACAGAGAAGGTAGAGATTTAGAGATTTTTCATGAACTTCTTGCACGAGTTTCGAGATGTAAAATAAAGTTGGATTTTTGTTTATAAAAAGACCGACATAAGACCGACTAGCTAATTAACGAAATAAACTTTTAATATTAAATGATGGGCATGGGTGCAAGTGTTGCTTAAGATAAAATTAACAATAAAATGGTTAGACTTTTACGAGTTGTTTATAAAAGTTCCGATCTCTCGAAAGTGAACTTTTATAACCGGGCCTCATAAAATTCCACAAGGTTTTTACGTTTATCACTTCGGAACTTGCCGATCTAGCTAAAAAGTAAAAGGAATGCAATTCTTACCCAAATCTCTTTGTGATAAAAGTACCTATTGCTTAACCCCTAGCTAGATGCATGCAAAATTCGCGTCTCCGCGTAATTATTCAAAGACCCTCTCGAGTTCATTGTGCATCACTTAAGCCGTATTTCGGATTCACCCATCTCTAGGTCTAAGATCTAATATTAACACTTCAAAGTGATCAGGTTATCCACATTTTAAGTGTTGTCTTAAGTGACCAAGTTACGAAGTGATAAAAGATAAAAACACCCAAATATTATATAAACATCCTAAGTTAAACTCACACCCACACCCACACCCATACGAGTAATTTAGCTGGACATAATAAAATAATACTGAAATATAAATTGCATTAATATAAAACTAAATTACAAGTACAAGAAAGTAAAATACTAGAAATTAAAGACATAAATTAGAGGCATTTAATTAAAAAGCATAATAATAATAAAATAGAAGAGAAGAGAGACACACTAGAGAGTAATGTCTTAGATGGTGTTGGGCACACCTCAAAATGGTGTTTGGCACACCTCAAAATGGCTCTCCCAAGCCTCTTTATATAGGGGAGAGGAATGGGGGCAAGGACACCCAATCATACCCAAATCTCTTTGTGATAAAAATACATATTGTTTAACCCTTAGCTAGATGCATGCAAAATTCGCGTCTCCACGTAATTATTCAAAGACCCTCTTGAGTTCATTGTGCATCACTTAAGCCGTATTTCGGATCCGCCCATCTCTAGGTCTAAGATCTAATATTAACAGTTCAAAGTGATCAGCTTATCCGCATTTTAAGTACCGTCTTAAGTGACCAAGTTACGAAGTGATAAAAATTGGACGGCACCAAAGTTAAACTTGGTGCTTGGTCTCACTGCTCCTTTTGTTTGTTCATACCAACAATTTATCGATGGTGGATTTGATGTGCCGGAAAAAGATATCGCACGTGCGCTTCTTTTACCCGGATATGGTTGGTCGCAAGACAACCGTCGGAAGATTTTGATGTCTGGGCATTTGACGTTAGAGGCAGCCCTTTGGCTTCAGTTTGTGCGTCACAATATCATGCATTCCATGAATGATTGGACGTTGTCACGGGCAAAGTGTTTTTTGTTTTATTGCATCATAAAGGAACTCCCGATCGACGTGGGCGCTCTCCCTTATTCTACGATACTAACATCAACTGTGCGAGCTAGTTCGCGTTTGATTTTTCCAGGTTTGATCACGAAGTTGTTGACAGCCGCGAAGGTGCCTGTTTCGGAGCATGATATCATCACCTTCAACAATTCCTTGCTCGATCAAGGTACGGTCAACCGCATGCACAAGCCGGACTAAGAAAATGCCGACTTAGCCGACGATGCTACCAGACCACAACTCTCGCCGGGACCTGCTGCAAACAGTCCTCGA